GGAGAAAAATTGATTTTTGAATAGTGATATGATGGGAAATGTGTGGTTGAAAAAGAAGAAAAAAGTATTGATGTGATGGAAAATATTATTTTATTGAAGAATGTGTGGTTGAAAATGAGAAGTGATTTACTGTAGAAAAGGAGAATTGTTACCAAACAGGCTCATAATCTATATTTAACCATTGATATAAGATATTTCCATTTCCTATACAAAAAGTATTTTTGATTCTTAAATTTACTGATTAATTTCCTATGACAATTGTTTCTGTATTACAGCCCACTGGCCCTTGCTCAAGCTTATGAAACACAGAATAAACTGATAGAGACACATCCCGAGTTAGCTGAAGAGGGTGCCATTCAAATTGTGATCATTAAGACCACTGGTGATAAAATATTGAGTCAGCCGCTAGCAGATATAGGTGGAAAGGGTCTATTCACAAAAGAAATAGATGAGGCACTCATTGATAGTGAAATTGATATAGCTGTCCACTCAATGAAAGATGTTCCCACATATCTTCCCGAGAAGACAATATTGCCTTGCAATCTTCCACGTGAGGATGTTCGGGATGCATTTATTTGTTTGACTGCAGCTTCACTGGCTGAGCTTCCAGCGGGAAGCACTGTGGGCACTGCTTCACTAAGAAGGAAGTCCCAAATACTCCACAGATATCCTTCACTAAATGTGAGTATGTTATGCAATAAAAAACCATCTTGCGTTCTCATTATATAGCAAATTGATTTACTAATGTAAATAAGAAGAATCCATAATGGTACTCGAGTAAAGGTATCAGTGTGAAAGCCAAATCTGAATTGCAAAATATGGTGTTAAGATTTTATAGATCTGGCAACCGCTGGCATGTCACAAAGATGCCAGGGATGCTTCTAATCTGCTTTCCATTGACAGGGACTTTCCAAAGACATTCTTTGGGAACAAGTGAACAACTGTTGTTTCTATAAATTTTGCAATGTGAAATTTTGCCTAAACATCTTTGTTATACTAAAAGAATATTTTACTACAAAATTACTCCTTTTGTCACAGGCAGTTTTCCCAATGCTGTTATGATCTTTCAATGCACATATCCTACTTTTTGTCAATGTCATATTTTCACACCTGTGTCGGGTTATATTTTTATCATAGTTCCCATACAAATGGAACGGGCTACTTTTTGAGAAATCTCTCAAGGACAAGCCGTTAGGTATAAAGGCAAAATATAATTTTTACATTTCCAGGGTCATAGTTCCCTATTGCTAGGTAAGTTCAAGTGGGAGTTGGCAGGTACACTTCTAAGCTTATTGTGAAACTGCAATTATATGATACAAGGTGGATACTGAATATAAGCTCGATCCCATCTCCTCTGGCATGCTTGATTTGGCTTTTCAGTCAGCATTATTTAGTCTTCAAAAATCTTGGTTGGCAGTCTATGCTGTCTCATTTTGCTTCACTTCCATTTTTCCTTACTCAATTCATTTATAGGTGCTCGAGAACTTTCGAGGCAATGTACAGACAAGGTTAAGAAAATTAAATGAGGGAGTGGTGCAGGCAACATTATTGGCATTAGCTGGGCTGAAGCGCCTCAACATGACAGAAAATGTTACTGCCGTTCTGTCTATTGATGATATGCTGCCAGCTGTTGCTCAAGGAGCTATTGGGATTGCCTGTAGAAGCGATGATGAAAATATGGTATGTTGTACTGTGCACATCTCTCCAATTTGTTTTATTCTTTTTAATTATCTACATCCTTCTCTCTTTCTCGTCCCATTTTCCCAATCTTTGCATTTCCGTAGGAGAGTTTTGGTTCCCTATCATGCTGAATAACACAAATTGATACTGCCAAACTTGACATTTTATCTGGTTTTATCAAAGCCTTCACGTATATAAAACTGTCACGGGCTTCGGTCTATACTTCCTGTATCTTCTGTTCCACGGACTGAACTGAGACTAGTTTCTCGTTTTCTGTAGCTAAAGGGCATGTTTTTGAAAGTTACAGGAAATTAGCAAAGACATCATGTACTAAGTGATGGAGATCAAGATAAGAATAAAGATATAAATAGATTTTAATCAGGATTTTATAATGAGAGTTTGATTCAAAATATATTTAATTAGATTAGATTAGTTTTGATATTTTAATATTATTAAATGTTTATTTCCTTTTAACTTCTATGCAAGGTGATAAATTTTGGATGAAGCTCAAGTTTACATTCAACTATTTTATTTATTCAAGTATATTCTTCTGCAGGCTAATTACTTAGCGTCCTTGAACCACGAGGACACCAGATTAGCAGTTGCGTGTGAGAGAGCTTTTCTAGAGAAATTAGAAGGTTCTTGTCGAACTCCAATTGCTGGATATGCTCGTAAGGACGAAGATGGAAATTGTATTTTTAAAGCATTGATAGCTTCTCCGGATGGAACCCGAGGTATGGCTATGATAAAAAGGATGAAAGAAAGTTTCCAGTATACCACTGTTTTTTAACGTTTGGTTCTCATGTTTCTCCCCTTCAGTACTTGAAACCTTTCGGAAAGGTCCATATGCTTTTGAAGATATGATAATGATGGGCAAGGATGCTGGTGAGGAACTTCTCTCAAGTGCCGGTCCAGGTTTCTTTAACCAGTAAATAGCTGTATGATGGATAGAGAGATTCGAGCTTGTCATTCAGCCTCTACGGATTAACTAGGTCATTCATTCTTCTCTTCTTCTACTTGTAATTCTAGTGCGAAATAAATTTTGGTGGTTGTATATCAGTGTAGCATGCGAGATCAAAATGTGAAGGACATGTTCTTTCTTAAAGAGTATTGCTCATAAAAAATGTATCCCTATGGTTGCAACTTGCAAGACCCAGTCAAGAAAGACTCTTTAGCAACGCTAACGAAAGGATTAGCTCTAAGCACGTCCGTGGGGACAAACAAGTATCTAGTTTAAATCTAAGGGTCCGTTTGATTGCAAGAATGAAATTGGGCGGAAATAAAATGAATTTCAGGGAATTGAATTGTCTAGAACTTGTTTTATTTGAAATTATCAATTAATTGTGCTTGACTGGTACAATTATCTACCTGAAAAATATTGAAATTTTAAATCTTTTTGTGTTCGTTTGACTTTGTTTTTCATGAAAATTATCCATTAAAGGGATATAATTTGTTACAATTGGGGATATAATTTGTTACCATGACCAAAAAAAAAGAGAGAAGCTTTTCCTAAAAAATAAAGAAAATGTGAACATCAAACATGCAAAAAGGTGGAAAATGAAATTTAAGTTCCATCTTTCATGAAATTGAAGTGCAATCAAATAGAGCCCAACTGTTTATCAAGATTTCACACGTTAGGCTTCATCGAAAAAGTAAAAGAAAAAGAAACGAAGTTGAAGATCGTAACTACTCGGACTGTAAAGAGGTTCACTTCTGTGAAGCAAAATAAACAGCATACCGTTCATTTAAGAAATGGATTAACAGATACGCGGCTTCTGTACGCTAGATACTTGAAGCACATTTTAAGAAATGGGTAAATAGATACACGAGGATTCTTTATGCTTTGAATAATCACTTGATGAAGCACAAATCATTACGCTCAACATTGAGTTCTTGATAGCTTTGAAGATCCTGTGAAGCAAAACATTGGTTCTTTGATTTTAACTCGTTTAACGTAAAAAGGTAAGAAATCTCCAAACGATTTTTCAATATATCTAAATACAGTAACTATTGACTGGACGAGAAAAACCCTCCAATCGTCAAGATTCTACGAAACAATATCCACTCCCAAGACCACAAGTTTTCAGATTGCGGTCTAATTTCATGATATATTAAATTTTAACACAAATCAATCGCCATATAGCAAGTCGAATTATGTGCACATTTCCTTGTGCAAATACACAATTCAAGCGACATGCGGACGCACAAAGCAAGATGGAGTTATGTAAACAATTATGAGAACAATTTGGTTATTAGAGCAAATAGATGACATAGCAAGGCATCTTCAAAACAATCGTGTCAATAAGATTCCAGTTGTAACATGCATAAGAAAAGTTCATGCTGTATTTGGCAGCACAACATGGAGCCTATTAGCCTAATAACGAAAAATAGGTTGCCGTATTCAAATTTCAATTCCACAGCATCAATTCCATGTGGAATGGCCAATGGAGCTAATTGTTAAATGCCATATTTCAGAATGCCAATATATCAAAATTTATGTATACCAGAAAAATATGGAAAGAATCATGACCAAAGTCATATAATTATGTTAGGTCCCAAATCAACAGATT